AAATAGTCCTAACCCGTAATAAATGAGGCTCACTGCCTCCAGCGGTTTTCGCACATGTGGTTATAGGACCGCACCTGCGCCCTCGCTTATGTGGACAAAGGTTCGCTTCTGCGGAATTCACTGGGCCGACTGGGATCGCTTCTGCGGACGGGTACCCGCTTTTACGGAGGATGGGCCGCATCTGCGGAACCTGGGCTGCCCCCCTTGGCCGCTTCTGCGAGGCTTGGCCTGCACCTGCGAGCTCGCAGCTGCGGCTGACCAAGCGCAGGTGCGGTTTTGACAGATCTGGTGCATCAGCTGCTGCTCCAAATTCTCATCTTGGTCCGAGCCTCGTCCGATTGACACTCGGGGCCCCGCCCGAACATACCAACAAGTTTAGAATTATGAAACGGACTCGCTCGAACTCTCGAAATACCCGAAACAACATTAAAACTAAGAATCGCACCCCAAAACTAATTGAATCAAACTTAAGAACTTCAAGTTCTACAATTTACTTCCAATGCGCCGAAACGTACTTAAACTATTCGGAATAACACAAAATTTTATGTGCAAGTCTTAAATGATATTACGGAACTATTCCCAGTCTCAAAATTCCGTTTGGACCTCGATATCATCAAATCCCTCTCCAAATCAAATTTAAAGAACTTTTAAAACCTTCAAGAACCAACTTTCACTATTAGGCGCTGAAACGCTCTCGGGTCATCCAAAACCCGATCTGAATATACGCCCAAGTCCAAAATCATCATACGAACCTACTGGAATCTTCAAATCCCGATTTTGAGGTCGTTTACTAAAAATGTTGACCGAAGTCAAACTTGATCTTTTAAGCCAACCTTAAGGAATCAAGTGTTCCGATTTTAACCCGAACCCTTCCAAATCATAAATTAACCATTCCCGTAAGTCATAAAACAGTAAAAGCATATACGGAAGTCTTATTTAGGGGAATGGAGTTCTAGAAAGCAAAACGACCGGTCAGATCATTACAAGATGACATTTTATTGGTAATATACCAAAATATAATTTTTCTCTTTGTCCAAGTGTATTATGTCTTTCATTAAATAGAAATTGAAATTTTCCTTTCCTTACGAAATAGTTAAGACTTTTCATGTTTTTAACGACTTAGATGAGTTTTGAGATAGGTTGACATGTGATTTTCTTCCTTTCCTTCTGGTTTTTATTAATTAACATTTCCTTATGACATGTGATATAGGAAATTCAACCATTTCCTTCTTGTATCTTGAAGTCGGTTAAAGAAAAGTTGTTAGGCCAGGAGGAGTGCCTATTCTAGAACTAACTTCTAAGCTTTGAAATGGTTGAATTTCATAAAATACCTTCTAATGAATTGACTATATCAATGCAATATGAGTTGCATATGCCTTATTATCTACTCTGAGCTTATGTTTGCCTATGACCTTTCTTCCTAACATATTTAAATAAAAGGAAAGATCATATCACAACTAATGCTATTCGGCATGATTTCTGGTCTTAAACCAAAGAGAAAATACTACTCTAGTAGATTTCACTTTTCTATGCAAAATCCTTATTACAAAAAAGTACTTAACAAACCAGATTCATAGGAAAGCATCTTGGGAAGTTACTGGTATATGCTATTTATTTCTTTAGTATCAAAATCTATTAATAAAGTTATTTTCGTTCTAAACACCAGAGATGTTTCAGTAAGTTTCATAATCACGGTAAAATTTAGCTTAAATTTCTCGCTTACTCTGTTGTTGATCACCATATAAAGGTTCCATTACTGAAAAGATAGCATAGTGTGAGTTTATAGCTTGAGATAAGAACTAGAAGGGAAATGCAATCAATGTTCCTTCTACTAGATATAACTAAATATGTTTCTGGATCTTTTGGCTGCACAGATAATTTTACGTTCAAAACTTTATATTACTCATTCCACTAGGTTTACAGTGGAAATTCAGTCAAACTTGAAAAAGTCTTTTACACCTTCGAAACAGCGTACCGGAAGACCCAACTTTCCCTTAAAATCCCAGTTTGGACGAGCGTGAATTTTTTGAAAGACATTCACTTGCCATAGTTCTCTGTGGTTTTAGTAGACCTTTCCTTTTTATATGCTTTCCTTTAGTACTTGGCTTAGGATCAACTCTTTTTTGTATGCATGCATATATTACTGTTATTCTTTATTTTTTTTAATAGCAAGGAGATAGTACAACAACAATGGGGAAATGAAGTTGCTCAAAGAGTAGCCTGAAAACATTAGAGTAACTTGAAGATATTGGAATAGTTTGAAGACGTATTCCTTTAATTTTTTTTCTTAAAATATCGAAGGATAAGGTTATTCAATAAGTAGGAGTTCGAACACATTTAATGTTCTTTTTTCCATGTGTATGTGCAATGACAATGTATTATGGAGCGTAATGTACTTTGTTGCAGACTATTTGGTAATGAAAAGTTTCTATACAATTTTATTTAAGCGTATCTGTGGTGTTCATTATAATGATAATGCTATAGGCAAATTAGCAGGAATACTATTGGCTATTGCATTATTATTATTATTTTTGTAAAAAGAAAGAGGCTTTAGTGGTGACTCTAGCTGCCACAAAAAGAAAATCCTACTGTGGCAACAAGAAAACGCCACTGAATATCATTTCTAGCGACTACAGTCGCCACTATATGTCATTATTTAGTAACGATCCACCTAAACTTAATTTTGTGAAACATGTTTTTGGGGCGACCTCAGTCGCTACAAAATGTGTAGCATTTGTGGCGACTCTAGAGAGTCGTCATAATAAACGTTCAGTAATGGTAGTGTTTGGAGCGAGCCCATAGTCGCTGCTAAACACATGTAGTGGCGACTTTCTTACCATTTGTGGCGACATTAGCTGCCACAAAAAGGCCGATTTCTTGTAGTGATACTTAGATCACATTCCCATGGGATAACACAATAATATAAAAGCACTCGCAATAATCAAATTTATAATGATCAACTCGGGGCTTACAAGAATATCGTGGGATTCAATTCTAAGAGAGAAGTTTAGCCAACATACCTCGCCTTGAGCTTCCTTAAATTACTACAATGATTCAGAAATCTTAGCCACTTCGATATGTTTGGAAATATAATAAAATTGAACACAAATTAGGAAGGAGTTCATAGTTCCAGCTTATTTGAGCATTTTACCAAACAATAGGTGGGCATTATGATTTTAAGGTCCTCCTATGGTGGATTTCTTCATCCCACTACCCAAAGTCTAACCAATTGAGCTCAACAATCTTCCCACACAAATCTTAATAGTATATGCATGCCTAATGAACAACTCCCATACCCAAGAATTGCTTTTCTCATTACCTATTTTCAGTTAAATCCAGAAATTGAGGGCTAGGGAGTAGAATCTTACCTCTAGGATGATGACCTAGTGCATTTTCCTTGTTAATTCTCTAAGCCTTGAGCAAGAATTGATGAACAATTATTTTAGGAATCCCCTCTCACTCTAGAGCACTTCCTCACTCTCAAAATATCAGGTTTTTAGTTTACAAATAGCCCTTAACGTCTATATATCGAAATAGGGTCGGGTTATAAAAACAAGAAAATGGACCCTCCGAACACAGCTCTGCAGTCGCAGAGTGGACCGCAGAATGGATATGTGGTCCGCAAAATAGGCCGCAAGAACTAGGTTGTTCGGGTCAGGTCTGCGGCAGGTCTGCAATCCGCAGACCAGTTCTGCGGTCGCATAATGCGCCGCAGAACTCCCCTCCGGAAATCTTCATGCTGAATCTGCGATGGATTGTGCGGCCCGCGAAAGCATTATGCGGTCACATATTGGACCGCAAAACGATCCTCCAAAATTGGCCATTTTTCTGTTGCACTCTGCGGCCGATCTGCGGCCCGCAGAGTGATTCTGCGGTTGCATAATGGACCGCGGAAATGCCCTACTCTGCTAAAAAATTTCTTCAACTCCCTAACGCACTGTTCAACACATAAGTCCACCTTGACATCATAAAACCCCGGGTTCTAGGTGAAATTTTACGGGGCCTTATATTCCCTCTGCTCCGGGTCAACTGTTTGTGCATCCCTTGTTGAAAGCTCAGGTATGTACACTACTTTTCTTCTTCTTTTTCTAGGGTTCAAGGTAATTGTTTCAATCGGGAATGAAGCAAGTTTATGTAAACCTCTTTGGTGTGATATGCACTTGAATTGGTTGTTATTGTAGTCACTTTATAGCAAATTACAAAATTTTGAGGTGAAAGAGAAACAATGCATGTGAAATGTTTGATTTAATGCCACAATGGGAAATATGTCAATTTTGGTGTGTGTCGCCCTACAGATTTCACTTTAACGTTGAAAAATGCTTTATGGCTTTCAGTGATAAATGCAAATAAATATGAAAGGAAAAGAGATTATTTGTTACTTGAGCCTAGTTTAAAGATTTTATTTAAGGGTTAAAGGTGCCAATTATTATGAAAGGTCCAAAAGTGCCCGTTTTTATGAAAGGGTCAAACGTGTCAAATGATATAAAATTATTTTGGGAGTCTTGTTATGTATTGACGGAAGGTGCTCCAATACCCGAAGTTACACGTGTTGGTGTAGAACTGTAATTGTACCATTGACTTGGACGATAAGATAGTCACCCTTGGTTGGGATTTATAACTAGCAAACTAGTGTCAAACAACACGATAGTTAGGAGACATCCTCGTCGATGCGGGAAATGTGCTCGACTCCATGAATATATACATGGTAAACCTTCTTATCGGTAACTAATAAACTCTCACTACAAAATATAAGTTTGTTTAAAGCTCAAAATTTCAAATGCTTTTATGAAATAAAATGATTATAGTTTTAATTTTATAGTACTTTTTCATGTTTCCTTCATCTGTTCTTGTCCTTTTTTTGTGTGACGGAGTTGATGATTGATATTTAGCTTAAAGTATGTATATTTATATGCATAATGCATCACATTTTACTCATGTTTCATAGATTTCGGATGTGAATTGTAAAGATTTGTACTAATACGTGGTACTTTTATGTGCAGGAATCATCGAGAGGCAATGTGGGACGAAGGTGCGAGATTGGAGGAAAAAAGGAACGAAATAGGAAAAAGGCCACATAGTAGCGCCCAGGCTAACATGGAGCGCTACCTGTGGCGCAGAAGTCAGAATTGCAAAAGTCCCAGCGCCAGGGCTAGCGCCCCCACGCTACCTGGTGCTGGTGACGGAAAATTTTCCTAACTCGATCGGGACAAGGTTATTTCGGCCTAAGGCATCCCAACTCGTATAAAAGCAAGCCTAAACCTATTTTGTGAGGGGTGACACCACTTTGAGAGGTAATTACACATGCGGAACACTGGGAAGCAAGGATCCTCAGTCTTTCTTCACCTTTTCTTAGTACTCTCAATTATTCAACACTGGTGAATTTGTTTTGATCTTATCATGAGTGGTTAAAATCCATAGTTCTGGGATTGAGATTTAGCCATGGATATTGTTGTTTGACATTGACTTAACCTCGATTATAATTTTCTTATATATGGTTGTTTCTTCAATTTTGTGATAAATTACTTAATTGTTTGGGCAACAGTTAGGTTCTATTTACTATATATGCTATGCATGGAAAGCTACGTCTAGATTAGAGAAGAGTTAAATAGAGAATGAACTCAACTCTGAGTGAGGGGCGGATTTGTAATTAGGATAGGAATATACCTAGTCACCATGCTTAATTGAATATTGTAATCTTAATGCGTTTTTAATAGATTGACATCATGGAAATATAGGCTTTAATCTATTTTAAATAGGCGAGTAGTAATTCGAGAGAATACTACAAGAGCAATAATTCAATTAATTAGCAACCATGAGTGAATTGTATGAAAGGGAGAGTTAAATAGAACACAATAGGATTGGTGAATCGATCACAACCCTAGAATATTCATCTCTACTGAATACAGAACAACTATTTTGCTGCTTGATTTGTTAGCCACTTGTTAGAATTATTGCTTAGTATAATCACACTTTTGAACTCTGATTGACTCGACTGAATAATAATCTTGTTGAAACTAGTGGGTAGTTAACACAAGTCTACGTGGGTTCGACACACGATTTATCACTTTATTACTTGTACGACCACATATACTTGCGTGTGCATTTATAAGCAACAAGTTTTTGGCGCAGTTGCCGGGGACTTGAATATTGACTACTTTCTAGCTTTTACTTTAGTTGTTTATTTCATCAAATCTAATGTTTCTTATTAGTTTCTCTGCTCTTAGGAACTCGGATTATATGCAAAGGGTCAGAAGCCAGGATAGACTTCAAGGCTTTGACCTCGAACCTGAGAGAACATTTCACAGGAGGTTGAGGGAAGCAAGGGACACAGATAATCTTCAGGAACTTGTTCAACTACTTGTGAACATGGCAGAGAAGCAACATATGGTTGTTCAGGAGCTGGCGATACCCAGCATTGTTAATGTCACCTCCAGCATTGTGAAGCCCAGAATCACTTGGTACTTTGAGCTAAAACAGAGCATGATCTAGTTACTACATGCAAACGGGCATTTTAAGAGTGCTCAACACGAGGATCCACAACAACACACTTTGAACTTCTTGGAGATTAATGATACTTATATCACTAACGGAGTCACTCCAGACTATATGAGCTCACATTGTTCCCGATTTCCCTGTTGGGCAAAGAAAAGAGGTGGTTGAAGGCGGAACCAACTAATTCTATCACATCATGGAATGATCTGGCGAGGAAATTTTTGGCACGCTACTTTCCTTCAGAAAAAATTGCAAACACCAGAAGTGAGATAGTCGCCTTCAAATAGAAATCGAGAAAGTCTTTATATTCAGCTCGGGAGAGGTTCAAGGGGCTGTTCAAAGATTGTCCTCATCACAAGCAAACAAATGAAGTGTTAGCACATACCTTCATAGAAGGGCAACAACCAGAGACCAAAATTGTGGTTGACGCTGCAGTGGGAGGTCAAATGTTTAGGGAAAACTTAGATAATATATATGCATTATTGAACAAATTCTCCAAAATTAATCCTAATTGGTAAGGAGATATGGGCAGATACATAGTGCAAATATTTGCGGGGGTCCTCGAGTTAGACGTTGTTTTTGCATTATCAGCGCATGTTGCCACATTGGCCAACCAAGTCAATATGATGAACTTGGTTATAAACAAGTAACAAGATCAGCCAATGCAACAGGTTCAAATATTTTGTGAAGTATGTGGAGAGGGTCACACGAGTGACTTATGCCCAGTTAATCTAGAGTATGTTTGTTTTGTGGGTAATGCAAATAGGGGCAAGACAAATCAGTATGGAAACACTTACAATCCTAACTGGAGGAACCACCCAAAATTCTCTTGGGGTGGAAACCAAGGCACTCAAACTCAGTACAGGCCACAAGTTCCTCAACAACAATATAGACCACCACAGGCTGAATAGCCTACAAACTCGACGAGTCATATTGAGGAGATGCTAAAGAAATTGATGGCTGATCAGCAGACCCAAGCAGCAGCGATGAGAAATTTGGAGCGACAATTGGGGAAACTTGCCAGTGCCCAAAATACTTGACCAGTTGGAGCTCTTCCAAGAGACACTGAGACTAATCCTAAGGCATCTATTAATGTTGTGTCATTGAGAAAAGGGAAATAGTTAGAAGCAATCTCATCGAAAAAGAGAAAGCAAGTGACCTTTGATGAAAAACAGGCCACCATAGAAGCTAGAGAAGCCAGTTTAAGAGGCGGTGGCAAAGCAATCCCAACCATTAGTTGCGAGGCCACCACCTCTACTCCCCCAGAGATTGCAGAAAGTGAAGGATAATGCTGCTTATAAAAAGTTTCTTAATATTTTGAAGCAAGTGCAAATTAATATATGTTGGTATACATCTTACAAGAAGTGCCCAAATATGCGAAATACATCAAATACATAGTGGAAAATAAGAAGAGGTTAGCTGAGTTCGAGACTGTGGCACTTATTGAAGAATGTAGCTCTAGAATTCAAAGAAAGCGACCTCAGAAATTTAAGGATCCATGTCGTTTCACTATCCAAATCTCAATTGGTAAGCACGCAGTCGAGCGAGCTTTGTGTGATCTTGGAGCGAGCATCAATTTGATGCCGCAATCTGTTTTCACACAATTGGGGTTGGGGGAGCTGCGCCCAACCACAATGATTTTACAATTGGCTGATCACTCCCTTGCTCATCCTAAAGGGGTGATTGAAAATGTGTTAGTTCAAGTGGGCTCTTTCATATTTCCCGCAGATTTTATTATCTTGTACCATGAGCCTGATCAAGAAGTCCTATTTATTTTGGGGCATCCATTCTTTGCCACGGGCTGAGCTATTATTGATATATGTGAAGGAAAGATGACAATGAGAATGGGTGATCGAGTGGAGGTATTCAATGTGTATAAAGCATTCAGATTGCCAGCCCACTATGAAGTGTTATCCATGATTTCTGTGGTGGAAAGTGATATGACTTCATTAGTGCCTTATATGAGCCCCATAGATCCTCTTGAATGAGTTTTGATAGGGGATTAAGAAGAAAGTGAAGATGAGATGATGGAAAAAATTTAGTAAGTCCTTAACATGTCTTGCAAGTATGTCCATGGGCTTAGGAGATTTGAGGAGTTGGACAGACCTGTTACTCTGACCCCTCCTAAACCATATGTTGAAGAAGCTCCAATACTATAGCTCAAGCCTCTTCCAGTGCACATGCGCTATGCTTACTTGGGGAATTCTGAAATGTTGACAGTAATTATCTCATCCAGCTTGACAAAGTGCAAGAAGAAAAGCTGCTCAGAGTGTTTCATGAGCATAAAAAAGATATTGGGTGGCAATTGTTGATATTAAGGGAATCAGTCCATCATTTTGCATGCACAAAATCTTTCTGAGAGATGAACACCGCCCAGTGTTGAGAAACAAATGAGGTTAAATCTTATTATGAAAGATGTCATGAAAGGAAGTAATTAGGTGGCTTGATGCATGTATCATCTTTCCTATTTCTGATAGCAACTGGTGAGCCCAGTGCAATGTGTGCCTAAAAGGGGGGGATGACTATTGTAGAGAATAAGAAAAATGAGCTAATTCCTACTCGCGCCGTAAGGGGGTGGAGAGTCTACATTGATTACAGAAGGCTCAACAAAACAACCTGCAAGGACCACTTCACACTTTCATTCATTGACCAGATATTGGACAGGTTGGCTGGGCATCAATATTATTGCTTCCTTGATGGTTATTCGGGGTAAAATCGGATTGTCATATGCCTAGAGGATCAGGAAAAGACCACTTTCATGTGCCCTTATGGTACTTTTACTTTCAAGTGAATGCCATTTAGTCATTGTAATGCATCGGCCACTTTTCAGAGGTGCATGATGGCCATTTTCACTGATATGGTAGAAACATTTGTAGAAGTCCTCATGGATGATTTTTCAGTCTTTGGGTCTTCTTATGATGACTGTTTGAAAATTTTGGGCAAGGTGTTACCACGTTGTGAAGAAATGAATTTGGTGTTAAATTGGAAAAAGTGCCATTTTATGGTGCAAGAGGGCATCGTGTTGGGTCATAGAGTGTCAAAGAGTGGCATTGAAGTTGATAAGGCGAAGGTGGAGACGGTTGCAAAATTACCTCCACCCATCTCTGTGAAGGGTGTCCGGTATTTCTTGGGACACGTGAGGTTTCTATAGATGCTTTATTAAAGATTTTTCAAAAATTACTACTACATTGTGCAAGTTTCTTGAAAAGGATGTGACTTTCAATTTTGATGAAGCCTGCTTGAAGGCATTCGAGGAGCTCAAGGAGAAGTTGGTGGACGCCCCATTATTGTGGCACTAGATTCGTCCTTACCATTTCAACTTATGTGCGATGCAAGTGACCATGTTATTACGGCAGTGCTAGGCCAAAGGAAGAATTAGATGTTTTACTCCATATACTGTGTGAATAAGACTCTTGATGATGCAGAGCTGAATTATAACACCACTGAAAAAGGAGTTGTTGGCAGTTGTGAGGGATTTTGAGAAATTTCCGGCATACTTGGTGGGAACAAAAGTTATAGTCCATACCCGTGTAGAGCTGGGTTTTGTTGGTGGAAATTTCCGGCATACTTGATGCAGAGCTGGGTTTTGTTGCTATATGAATTTGATGTAGAAATACGAGATCGAAAGGGCACGTAAAACCAAGTAGACGACCATCTATCAAGGCTGAAAAATCATGAGCACGTGGAGGAAGGTAGACAAATTAAGGAGATATATTTTGATGAGCAACTTTTTTCCATCACCCATGACCCTGCCCTATGGTACACGGACTATGTGAATTATATTGTGAGTGGGGTGTTTCCTCCTGAAATTCAATCTGAGTGTAGGAAGAGGTTTCTTCATGATGTGAACTTCTACTACTAGGATGAACCATTCTTTTACAGGTAGTGTGCTGATCAGTTGATGAGCATATTCATTCCTGAAAAGAAGGTGGAATTAGCATTGTATGACTGACATGCCTCGCTTTATGGGGGCCATCATGGAGGCGATAGGACAGCTGCAAAAGTGTTACAGTCTCGGTTCTATTGGCCAACATTGTTCAAGGATGCCCATGTATTTATTAAGAAGTATGACCAGTGTCAGCGAACAGGAACAATCACGAAGAGGCATGAGATGCCTTTGAATAACATCCTGGAGGTTGAGATTTTTTATGTGTGGGGATAGACTTCATGGGACCGTTCTCATTTTCTATAAGAAATAAATATATCTTGTTAGCGGTTGACTACGTGTAAAAATGGGTAGAGGCGATCGCATTGCCAACCAATGATGCCAAGGTGGTAGCTACTTTTGTGAAGAAAAATATATTCTCGAGATTTGGAACTCCACGTGCCTTGATTAGTGATGACGGGACACATTTTTGCAATCAGTTGTTAAATAACCTTCTAGCCAAATATGGGGTCCGCCATAAAGTTACCACAACATATCATCCACAAACAAGTGGACAAGCTGAAGTGTCCAACAGAGAAATAAAGCAGATATTAGAGAAGACACTGAGTGTGAACAGGAAAGATTGGGCTACAAAGTTAGATGATGCCTTGTGGGTATATAGAACTACATACAAAACAACAATTTGGGCGACCCCGTATAAGCTTATTTATGGGAAGGCATGTCAGTTGCCGGTTGAACTTACATAAGGCGTATTGGGCGATTAAAAAAATTTATATGAACTTTGAAGCCGCGGGCGAGAAATGGCTCTTGTAGTTGAATGAGTTAGATGAGTTCAGGCTGCACTCTTATGAAAATGATAACCCTTTACAAGGAGAAAACAAAAAGATGGCATGACAAGCGTATCACTTTGAACTGGGCCAAAAGGTTCTATTGTTCAATTCTAGGCTTAAGCTATTTCCTGAGAAGTTAAAATTGAAGTGGTCAGGTCTATTTGAGGTAGTGAGAGTCACTCCTTATGGTTTAATTGAGATGCGCGCTTTAAATGGTGAAAGAAATTTTTTAGTGAATGGGCAAAGAGTCAATCACTATTTGGGGGGAGGGGGGATGGTGTCATGGATCGTCAAAAGTCCAAAGTAATACTCTATGATGAGTAAGCGAGGCCCTGCATCGTGCCGCGATGTTAAATCAGGCACTTGTTGGGAGGCCACCCAATGTTTATTTCTTTCATAGCTTAGCTTTTCAATTTGTTTTTGGTTAGAGAAGACTAGAGTTCTTATTTTCTTTGTAGTAATAGAAATCATACGTAGAATAGTGTGGGATGTGTATAATGGTTGTATTAAGTGCTCGGGGGGAATCGGGGATTTCATTCAAAAACATTCGGTGAAGTAGCGCCCAGCGCAACCTGGGGCACAGAAAACAGAAGGTTTTTCCCTCAATGCCAGGCCTAACACTTTTTTTCTTTTCTTTTTCGTTTAATTATTTAAAACCACTACCCCTAAACCCGACCCACATACCTTTTTTCTCTCACCCCTTAACTCATCTCCTAATACCCATACCCATTATCCCTCTAATACAAAAATAAATCTAACTCCTAAACTCTCTCTCTCTCTCTCTCTCCCAAACGCATCTCTTTATCTCTTTCTCTTGACTTTCTTGTTTTCTCCCTTGCATTCATCTCAAACCCCCCAGGTACGTTCCCCTTCCCCCTTTTCTTTTATTTTGTATATTATATTTCCCATCCCCCCCCCCC